GTCGGAACCAAGATGGCAGATATAAAAATTAAGAATTTCTTGGATTCGCTTAAAAGTTTGTTACTTCAGGGTTTTTGGGATCGCTGATTACGAATTCGCCATTTTGAATGTTTGAAAACTAATATCGGATTTGTAATCAGCGACCCCAAAAACCCTAAGTAACCATTTTCAATCGAATCCAAGCAATTGCAAGAAGTCTATTAAAGCAATCCAAAAACACACATTTTTTAGTGTCTTCAACCCCATTTTTTAAAAAAATCTTAATTTTTTTTGTTATTTTATGGATATCGGTCTTGTAGTGCACATTACAAGCTTTAATTTAAGACCTTGTGGAAGTCTCTAGCACGTCAGGTTAAAGAGAAAAAAAAATGTTGAAAATCCTCAAAAAAGCGTTTTTGGGGTCTTTACCCCCATTTTTCTCAAAATCCTGACGTGATGGGCAATTTTGGAAGTCGGGATCGTATTCAGCGTCCAAAAATACATCGGAAACCATTCCTATATCTCATAAAAAAAATGTTAGTCTTTTTTTGTTGACCTGTGTAATTGAACTGTTTTGAAGGATTTATTAAAATTTTGTTTAAAAATAATTAATTCTTATGAAGAATGTTATTATTTATATAAATAATTGAATTATTACGAAGCATGTTATTATTTATAAAAATAATTAAAATCTTCCGAACAATTTTATTAATATTTTTGAATTTAAATTATTAGTAAATTAGTTAAGAATTGAGATTTTTTAAAGTTTGAATACGAAATTATTCAAGAATTCTTTTTTAAAAATAAAAAATTTTGTAATTCGCATAATAATAATACATCCTAAATCACGTTCCGCGAAATTTGCTATAATAATTTGCTAGTTTAAATATATATTTAAAAAAAATTTGATACAATAAAGAAATTGCTGAAAATTGCATAATATTAACTAATTAAAAAACATTACTGGAAAATTTGGGGTTTTTAGAGATATTTAAAAAAAAATGTGAATCATTTTTAAAAATTAAAATTTAATTTAAATGTAAATAAATTAAAATTAAAAAAATTAATTTCTTGAAAACTTTGATTTAGTTAAATTTGAATGAAATTAATTTTAAATTAATTAAAATTTTTTTTTACATTTAAAAGAAAAAACAATTAGCTTTATATTATTTCCCCTATTGCATTATCTCTCTGATACAATGTGGAGAACCCCTGGAGTTAGCCGATAGATACTAGTGGTGGGGGTACGGCGCTCGCAACGACAGTGCGACTTCGCCTACATGAGGAACCGCTGTAAGTAATTCAGTAATAGCTCTCTGCATTCTTCAGGGTTGAGACTGTCATTATACAATAATGCCTGCATTACTGTTACTGAAAAGAATTTAGAATAACCTGTTTTAAAAATTAATTAAAATTAAAAATTATTGCACTATTACTAGCCGAAAAATACTTTTTTACTTAATTGTCACGAAGAAAGATTTAATAATAAATTTCTAATAGAAATAAATAAATATAAAGAAATATTTATGGTGAATTTAAGTAATATTCCATACTAAAAATTTTCATGTGAGTACAAAAAAATAATAAATAATTTTGAAAGTTTTATGCTTTTGGTTTTTTCTTCCAAAAAGAATAAGAAAATTTTTTACAAAAATTGTGATTATAAAATAGGAATTATGCAAATATTTTTGAAAATTTTATTGAAAGCATCAGAAAGTACATGAAAAATGCTTTAAAATCCGTTATTCACAAATTAATATCCATAAAGTTTTATCCAACTTATAGGGATTTCAACATGTCAATGTTCTCTAAAATGTGAAAGTTTTACCCTCCCTACTTTCTACATTTTTTTCAAATATTTTAATATTTTGGGAATTTGTTACTTTTATATAGGAGAACAAATTACCGAAATATCAAATCAATCCCACAACTTTTTTTTTAAGGAGGTCCACTTCAAAAATTTCGCCCTATATGAGCGATTCCATGTCAATTGATCAAGGTGGACAAAAATTTTTCTAAACTTCTAAACTTTTTTTGCCTAAACTTTGGGATCTTATAGTATTAGTGGATAGTGATTTAGTGTAAAAATATTTTTTTATCTAGTCCAATATTTTTTGAGGGGGAGAGGGTGAAAGTTTTGAGGTTTTCGGCACAATGCTTATTTTGATAATTTTTTACTCTTAAACAATTAGACATAAAAATTTTTCCGAGTACAGCTTCGAAAGGTTTTTCATGCTCTTTCGATTAGAAATAAGCATTTTAAAAAAAAAAATTTTTGACCAAAGAAAATCAAAATTAAAAATAAATTTTAATTTTTTGGCGGGAAGGATACGATTTTTTTTTAAATGAAAGCTGAGGTTTTTTACTAAAAGGACAAATTTTTATGTCTAATTGTTTAAGAGTAAAAAATTATCAAAATAAACATTGCACCGTAAGACGGTGCATCACTTGACGTGAAGTCGCTCATATACACTCAATAATATATATGAGGCATGAGTCTCTAACATAAAAGCCACCCTAAAAAATGTTCTTTTTGGAAATGAATTATGTTAAAGTATACATAAAAACAAATATGTATAGTAGGTTTTTAGGTCTGTGTAATGCGTGGTTGCCATGTTATCAGGGGCTCAGTTTTTTTCAGTACAATTTTCAAATGGCAATATTTTTTACCCATATCAATGGATTTTAAAGTTGTATACGTGTTTTTAGTAGAGAATTTTTCAAACTTTTGAATGAAATTACTAATTATTTAAAAAAATGTTGTTTCATCAAAAAAAATAAAATTTTTTTTTCAATTTTTTTTTTTCTTTTCTCTTTCCTCTTATTTATTTATTTATTTTTTTTTTATTTATTTTTTTTCCTTATTTTTTTTTAATTTTTTTTTATTTTTATTTTTTTAATGTTCCTTATTTTTTTTTATGGGTAAATCTAAAAAACATTCAACTTTTATGTGACTTTGCTTTTTATGTACGTATGCCCTACAACAAACCTAATTCCTTCTGGATAAAATACATGTTGTACTACTCAATGCCTTAGAAAAAGTTTGGAGTAGTTAATTGAATAATTTATGTGTTACACGACTTAAAAGTCAGAGAATAATAGAAAAACTCAAAAATTTGGCGGTGATTTTTAGGAGATGGAAGATTGAACTGAAAATAACTTTTGAAGCAATTTATGTATTAATCTGATATTTTGTGTATTATTATTTCTTATTTATTCATTTCAAATATACTAAGTGAGAAAAGTGTGCAACAAAAAATAGCGAAATGGTGAGTATTTAATAAGGGGTGACTCTAATTTCAACCACAATAAATTATTTTAGTTTTTTTGCATGTAATTTTTGAAGCATTTAATTTTTAAAAATTTCTAAGTACACATTGTATTTGACAAACGATTGCTAACAATTTGGTATGTTAACAAAACGTGTGCCTTTAAAATAAATTGACCTTTAATGGTAAAATATTCTGAAAGGTGGAGTGTAATATTTATTTAAAGGACACCTTATTTGAAGGCACACTTACAAAATAATTCAAAACTACATAATTTCTTTTGTAACTGATAGATTTATCATTTTTATATATACCTGTAAAATGCTTCAAAAAGTTTTTATTAGGAATGTATAAAAATCGTGATTTATTGCATCTTGTCGTTTTTCATGTATGTATTTTAAAGTTGGTGCAAAGCTATGATTTTAAAATTAACTAACATTTATGTTTTTTGTAATTGACGAAGTTCATACTAATTGTCAATTGTAACCTATTCATTAACGTCAAAAGTAAAGAAACCGTATTGTCTTCAGGTAATTTAATATTATCCTTTATATTTTTATTATATTTAAAAATACTTTTTTTTCTTGGTTAGTATTTACTGTTGCCATGTATTTATTAATAATTTCGCTAGATTTAAAAATCCTCAAACGGGATAGAATGAGAGAATCGATTATTTTTTGTTACTTATATGGAATAACTGAGCAGAAAATGTTAAAGTTAATTTTTATAAATGATAATTAATTAAATTTATAATATTAATAAAAAATAGTATAATTTGAATTTTGTTTATTTCTTGTTTAATATTTCACAAGTCAGGTCGTTTGTAACTGTGATATAGAATACCCGAAAGTTTGTTTTCCGTCTAACTTTTGAATCAATTTATGAATATTAATTACATTGATATTTTCTGATTTATTGAATAATTATGAGTAAAATGATATAAACAATGCATGAGTGCTCACAAATTAAAAAATTTTTCCTTTTTATGTCGAAGTGAGCATGTTTTTTAGATTTGCCCATATAGGTCTACAATTACAAGTCCAAAATTTTAAAAATTTATATCTTGAAAATTTGGACAATTAAACAAAAATAAAAAAACAGATATATATATATATATATATTAATATTAAAAAAATAATAATTAATTATTATTAATAAATAGCAAAAAAGAAAAAAAAATTATAATAGTATAAATTTTTACTTACATTCACTGCTTGAATATTAATAAATAGTGAAATAATGATATTTCACAATCAACAAAAATAAAATGACAGAAAGAAAGAGAGAGAGAGAAATTTCCCTCTATTCAGTGCGCAAATATGATGAAATGTGTCTGTTTATATGTGATGAATGTGTATTTGAAAAAAATATAAACATTGAAAATATTCTAAACAAAAAGCAAAGCAAAGCACAAAAAGAAAGAAAAACGCGGAACACAAATTAAAAAGGCAAAAAAAAAAATTTTAGAAACACACATCAAAGTTTTAAATATATATAAAATAAAATTGTTATTATTATTTATAATAATCAAAATAAAACAATACTATCCTTCAATTAATATTAAACACACATACACAACAAAAAAAACTTTTATAACATTATTATAAGCAAAAATAATATTACATTTTAATATCATCATCATCAATTATCATCATCATCTCATTAAATTTTCTATTTAATTCATGATCTTCTTTTTCTGCTTCTTCCTCTCTTCTAATTTTAATTTCTTCTTCTTCATCTTCTTTTAAATTATCTGACATATTTATTTCATTTTCAATTTCATCAAAACAATAAATATCATTATCATCCTTCTTGACATCCTCTTTTTTAATTTTTTTCTCATTTCCATCTTCTCTGCTTCGTCTCTTAATTTTATTTCCTTCTTCTTCTCCTCACTTTTGAATAATTTTAAAAATTCTAAATATTCCTCATTATTAACAGTTGTTATTAAAGATTTAATTTTTTTAGGAGGCATAATTATTCGAAAAAAAAATGGAAAAACGAATTAGAAAAGGAATGGAAAATTAAAGATTGAAAATTGAAAAATCTGAAACAAAATTAAAATTTTATAATTATTGAATGATGACATTTTTATTAATAAGGGAGCGTTCACAAATTACGTAACATTATAAAGGGGAGGGGGGTCTAGCTATTTGTTATGTACAGCAGAAAAAATGGCGCTAATGTATGTAACAGTGTGTTACATGGGGGGAGGAGGGGTCAAAATTTTCAAAAATTAGCGTTACGTAATTTGTGAACGCTCCCATAATAAATAATTTGATAAATATTTTGTTAAAAACAAAAATACAAACACACACACTTTAAAAATAATAATTATCATATTAAAATTGAAAATTTTAATTATTAATAAAATAAACATATAGATATTTAATCTTTTTATATTAATTTCAAAGTAATAAAACAACAATTTAAAAACAATTAAAAAAAACAATTTACAAAAACAAATAATAATATTAAAAATAATAACATAATAATAATATAAATATAAGTTGGATATTTAAATTTTATTTTATTTTTTTTTTTAATTTTAAAAATTTGTTTTTAAATTTTAAATTTAAAACTTACATTTATGGGCAACTCCTCATTTCCAATATGATTATCATCCTCCTCAATAATCATTGGCTGTTGTTGTTGTTGTTGTATGATCCTTAATAAATAATTTCATTTTTGTGAAGACATCCTAGTAGTGATAAAATAAAATGCAATCACTCGGAATGTTATCGCGACCAACTCTTCCCGATTCTTGACAATAATTTGCCAAAGAATTGGAAATTGTCGTATTGATAACAAATCGAGTGTTTGGTTTATCAATACCCATACCTAATGCTATTGTCGCGCACAAAACTTGAATACGATTTTCCTTCCAAGCAAGGAAAATTGTCTTCTTATCTTGTGTCGGCAATCTTGCATGATATACTTCACACGAATAGCCATTATTTCTTAGGAATTGACGATATAGTACGGTATCTTCAATTGTTCCACAATAAATAATACCCGATTCCTCATTATTATATCTATCTCGCATCAATCGAATTATTTCTGTCCCTCGGTTCTCTTTTTTGATATTGTTTAGCGAATATTTTAAATTCTCCCTAAACAAATCTGCAAATAATCTGGAAATATTAAAAAAAAAATTTTTTTAATTTTTTTATTTTACTACAATTTTATAATTTTCATTGTTAATATCAAATTTTTGAAAAAAAAATTTTTTTTATTTTTTTTTTAAAAATGTTGAAAAATTATTTTTATAAAATTTTTTTTTACCTTTTATTATTCTTGTTGTTAATTGAATGTTGATGAAATTTACAAAAAAAATTGCCTCCATATATCTCGATAACGTTATAAAATTTAATTTTAATTTTTTTTTTAAATGTTGAAAAATTATTTTTATAAATTTTTTTTTAATTAAATTAGTTTTTTTATCTAATTTTTAAATTAAAAAATTAATAATAAAAATAAACTTACACTATGCAATTTTGGTCGAGTCTCAATATATTTTGCAATTGGGGAATTTCATTGCGTGTTATTGTTGCTGAAAATCCGCAAATTTGGATTTGGGGAAACAAGTTTTTCAATTTTCTTAAATTAAGATAAGAATCTCTAAACGTACATCCCCAATCCATTATGCAGTGAAATTCATTAATGATAACACGCGATAATTTTCTCCAGACATGTGCCTTCCGCAATTGTTTCAACACTGTTTCGTTATTGGATAATTTCTCTGGTGTGATGAAAATAAAATCAATTCTGTTGATTTGATGTTCCTCAGAGAATTATTCACTAACAAAGTGTCGGATTGTTGATTGTCGCCCGTTAATTTCAGCGTGCGAAACTAAAAATAAAAAAAAAGATTGTAATGAAAATTTTTGTAAAAATTTTAATTGTTTTTTTTATTAAAAAAACAATTAATGATAATTAAAAATAAATTGTAGTTGTAATTTTTTTTTATTTTTAAAAAAAAAAGAAAATACAATGGAACCTCGATTATCCGAATCCTCTATTATCTGAACAGAAAATCATTTTATTTAAACTTCTATTATCCAAATTTTATTTTGGCCCACCCTAATAATCTTCTTTTAACCACTTCACTGGCGGGGCGTTCCAAATGGCGTTCCACGCGCCGAGGCCCAGACTGTCAAAAAAACCGAAATGGCGTTCCTAATAAAACATTATTTTTAAAGAGTGTACACTACTTTTAACTTATACAAAGCAATATTTCTATAGTTTAGACATCATGGAACAAGATTATCACAATAAAAATTTCAGTTTTTGGGATTTTCAATGTTTTTTCAAACAATGAAATAGTCAATTTTTACCACTTTTCACCAAATGGCGTTCCACTTTTTTTCAATTTTTACACAGTAAAACTCATATTTTTTATTTAAAAAATATATTTACATACAAAACATTATAATATAATAATGTAATAAGTAAAAAATAAATATAAATAATTAATAAATAAAATTTAATAATTATTAATAATAACAAAAGTGGAACGCCATTTGTTAAAAAGTGTTAAAAATCGACTATTTCAACGTTCAAAGAAACATTGAAAATCTCAAAAACTGAAATTTTCATTGTGATAATCTTGTTCCCTGATGTCTAAACTATAGAAATATTGCTTTGTAGTAGTAAAAAGTAGTGTACACTCTTTAAAAATAAAGTTTTATTAGGAACGCCATTTCGGTGTTTTTGCCAGTCTGGGCCTCGGCGCGTGGAACGCCATTTGGAACGCCCCGCCAGTGAAGTGGTTAAAGGAAAATAACAAAATTTTATGTTAAAAAAATATTTTAAAAATTCAAAATTCAATGTTTTATTAATATATTATTATGAATTAATATATATTTACATATATATACTTATGTATATTTAAGAAATTAATTAAATGAAATATATATATAATTCAATTATCGATTTTTTTACTTTAATTATATAATAAAATTAAAATCTCTATTATCAGAATTTTCGATTATTCGAAATCGGCCTTGCCTAGGTTAAACGTTCAGATAATCGTGGTTCCAATGTATTTTCTTTTTTTTTTATTTTTAATTAATTTTCATGTTGTTTAAATTTTTTTTATTGTAAAATATAATGTATTTTTATTTATTTTTTTTTTAAATTAAACATCTCTTAAGCCCAACTCTTGTAAATAATTATCCTGATCTTCTATTAAAGACATCAATGGAGAGATGATAATTGCTGTTTTAGTAAAAGCAATTACATCATCAGCTGCATTATAATTTTCCATATATATGTGGGAAATTGAAAACAGAGATTTGCCACCTCCCGTTGGCAGGACAAAAAGTCCATCATTAACATTGTAAACATTGGTAATGATTTCCACTTGGGACCCCCTAAATTGATTCAAATGGAATCTCTGATTCAATTTTTGAACCCACAATTGTTGCGCCATATTATATGTTGTTAATTACACAGGCACACAAACAAAAAAAGTGTCGTGGCCGAGACACTACAGTAGTATATTCCCATGTATTTTTGGCCGCTGAATCCGAATCTGAAGTCCGAATGCTCAAATTGGTTATTTTTTTAGTTATACTCAAAAAACGACTCAAAACACGAATTTGAACCAAAAAAATTAAAAAAAATTTTTGTGATATGACAATAGCATATTTCCATGTATTTTTTCCCGCTGAATCCGGATTCGAAGTCAGCATTGACAGATGTGCTCAAAATTATGAGCTAAACTCAAAAAACGACTCAAAAAACCGAATTAGAATGACGAAAATGAAACATTTTTTATGTGACATTGCAAAAGTATATTTATGACTGATTTGCTCAAAATTTTGAGATATACTCAAAAAACTGATAAAAATGTAATTTAATATGAATAAAGGAAATTTTTTGCTATGACACTACACTAGTGTATTCCCATGTATTTTTTCACTGTGATTCCAAAGTCAGAATTTTCAAAGTGGCTCAAAATTTTGGATTTCATTAAAAGTGCTCAAAAACATGCATGCTTGTACCTGTAACCAGGGTTTGAGTTCTAAAAAATTTTATGTCATTCTGATAATTCTAACTTCGAATTTGTATTCAGCGTATATAAAATTCATGAGAATACACTACCGAATACCAAAAAAATGAACTCTTTTGCATTATATTAAATTTTGAGCATTTTTGGATTTAACTTAAAATTTTGAGCCAATTTAATAATTTTAACTTTGAATTTAGAAGCAGATGTAAAAACATGAGAATATACTAATGTAGTGTACTAGCAAGAAAAGTAGAGTTTCTTGACTTTAATTTTTGTAACTTAACAGATTTTCTTGTGTGTCTCAAAATTTTGAGCCATTAGAATAATTCTGACTTCAAATGCGAGATCCGAGTGTATAAATATATGGAAATACTGTATTGTAGTGTCATAGCAAAAAATTGCCATTTCTTTATTTTAAATCGCTTTTTTTATCAGTTCTTTGAGCTTATCTCAAAATTTTGAACAAAAACAATTACAAATTGCATTATTCTATAGAAAAATTATAGAAAAATTGTAGAAAGATTATATTAATAACTATAGAAAAATTAAAAAGTGAGTATAAAAATTGTAATAAAATTAAGAATATAAATTTATTGGCAAAAAAATTATTTTAATGCCAAAATGCAGACGAAAATCGACTCGAGTTCCAGGAAAAATAAAATTGCAAATGAATATATAAATAAGATCTTCTCTTGTTTTGTTAGAAACTTCACGCTTTCAATCGCATTTTTCAGATTAAAAGTCGATTTTCGGCTGCATTTTGGCACAAAATTCTACACAATTTCTATAATATTGGAGATTACTGATTTGTTTTTTTTTAAATTAATCCTTGGAGTTTTGCGCATCAATACATGGTAATTTAATCTTTTAAAAATATTGCGAACATTCTTCAATTTACAATTGTTTAAAAGAATTTTCAATAACAATTATAAATTTTCATTTTCGAATCACAAAAAATTGATTGAGAATAATTTTTTTTTTAATTATTAGAGGATTGAAACTAATGTAATTTGTAAAAAAGTAGCTTTTAGTGTCAGAAATTTGACAAAAAAGGAGTAAATAGTACAGATTATAGTACGTCAGTGCGAAGCCTGCTTTTTTTATATATTAAACGTTTCCAAAAAAATATTACTTTTTAAAATATTACTGTTTTTAATATAAAAAAAATACCATTAATTATAAAATAAAAATTGGAATAATTTTTCTAAACTTCCGTAATATTTGAAACTTTGTAAGAAGTCTTATCATTTCTAAAAGTATGAACGTGAATTCAGAAAAACTTTTACGTTATATAATTTAAAAAATTAATTAAACATGAAATTCATATTAGAAAATTATATTCAATATTACAATTGTTAATAAATTATATTTTATTAGTCTTCAAGAAAACTTAAGTACTTTCTAAATTTAAAATAAAGGCAGTTAATTTATAATTAGGTAAGTAAAATTAACTATAATACAACAAAGAATTCTTAATCTCGTTATTTAATTAAAATACATAATTCTATAAAAATAAAGATCTTTTGAAAATATCAAGAAATCTTATTATTAAATTAAAGCAATTATTAAATTATTCCAAAGAAAAAATATAAATAAAAACGATTTAAAAATAAAATGTTTCATAAATTAGTTATTAAAAAAAATTTCCACATTTCTTTAAACAATAATAATAATATTTATTATTATTATTATTATTATTAATAGGGGAGAGTCTCCAGTTGTGAGACACCTCCAGTTGTGAGACAGTCAATTTTTTTTAACATGCAATATTAAAAAGCCGATTGGTTTATATAAAAACATTTCTTTTTATAAGAGCCAACTTTTTCGTGTACACCGAAGCGGATATATAAACTGTTTTTGTTAAATACTAACACTGAGGGTGATAATCGACTAAAAAGCGTTTTTTCAATAAATGCAAAATTCTTTTTTTCCAAGTTAATTAATTGGAAAAGGTAAATGTAATGCATTTT